CGCCGGGCTTCGCGTGCGGCGCGACCGACGCGGCGCCCGTCGCCTGCGGCCGCGGTTCCTACTCGCTCGGCTCGGCGACGGCGTGCGCCGAGTGCCCGCGGGGCTACGCGTGCCGGCGGGCCGACGCGGCGCCGACGCCGTGCGGCGCGGGCGCCTACGCGCTCGGCAACGCGACGACCTGCGAGAGCTGCGAGGCGGGCTGGTTCTGCGAGACGACGGACGCCGGGCCCGCGCGGTGCCCCGCGGCGACGTACTCGACGGCCCTCGCGACGTCCTGCGACGCGTGCCCGCTCGGCTATACGATCGTCCGCAACCGGACGGCCTGCGAGGCCTGCCCGAAGGGGAGCTACTGCCCCTACACGGACGAGGACCTCGCCATCGCCTGCCCGCGCGGGAGCTACAGCGTCGGCCGCCAGCACCTCTGCACGGCGTGCGCTCCCGGCTCCTATTGCCCCTACGTCGACCGGGGCGTCGAGTACCCCTGCGACTCGGGGACCTACAGCGTCGGCGGCCAGGCGTCGTGCACGCCCTGCCCCGCTGGCTTCGCGTGCTTCGACGTCCGCGGCGAGCACATCAAGGCGTGCGAGCTCGGCACCTACAGCAGGGTCGGCGAGCCGCTCTGCGCCGACTGTCCGGCCGGGTACCGCTGCCCGTCGCCGAGCGCGCTGCCCATCGCCTGCGATGCGGGGACGACGGCGGTGCTCGGGTCGAGCAACTGCAGCCTCTGCGATCCAGGCTACGCGTGCCCGGACCCGGCGGCGCCGCCGGAGAAGTGCGCCGTGGGCTCCTACGCGGCGGGCGCGGCCTTCGAGTGCGAGCCATGCCTCCCTGGCTACCGATGCCCCGAGGGGTCCGTGAACGCCGCGCCGCTCGGGTCCGAGCGCGAGGCCGCGCGGACATCAAATCTTCAACCCGACGTCGATGTGCGCATATGCGACAGTTTCGACGAAAGACCTTCGACGGTGCTTCGAGATCTCGGTGAGAGCCATCGATTCGTCCAAAAATCAGCCGAATCGACGTCGATGTGACCGAGCTCGAGAGTTTCAAAGTTTGGTCGGGACGTCCCGGACCAGCGGTTGGTTTCCGCACAGGTGCCCCGTCGGCGCGTGGTGCAACCCCGCGTCGGAGCTCACGCTCTGCCCCCTGGGCTATTACGGCAACGTCTCCGCCGGCGCGTCGATGGCCGACGCGTGCGAGCTCTGCGACCAGGGCTACTACTGCCCGCGGACGGGGACGACGGCGCTCACGCGCGTGCTCTGCCCGGCCGGATTCTACTGCGAATTGGGCTCGTCCTATCCTACGGAATGCCCCGCCGGCACGTACAACGACGAATACGGCGCCGCGTCTTCCGCCTACTGCCGCGACTGCGCGCGCGGTTTCTACTGCCAGGCCCACTCGACGACCCCGAACCAGTTCCCATGCGAAAAAGGCTACTTTTGCCCGGACGCGACGGCGTCGCACGACGCCTACCCGTGCCCGGCGCGGGCCCGTGTGGATTCCAAATCGTCGACCCGACTTCGACGGTTCTTCTGCCCGCCGTCGAGAGCTCGACGAGAGAAACGCACTCGTCCAAAATGTGAGACCCTTCGGAGCCACCCGACCTCCCGCGCCTCCTCCCGGGAGTCCTACGTTTGGAGACGCGTCCCGCCAAAAATAAGCCACATCGATTCGCCCGAGCTCGGAAGTTCGGTCGGGAATCCCGCCAAACCAGTGGTCGATTGTCACGACCGAGCTCGGGACGTTCGGTCGGGAATCCCACCAAAGCAATGGCACACAGGCGGGGACGTTCTCGGACCAGACGCAGCTCACTGACGCGGCCGAGTGCGTGCCGTGTCTCGTAGGACACTACTGTCCCGAGGCTTCGACGTCGCCGACGCCGTGCGCCGCTGGGACGTACAACTTCGACCCCGGGTCGCGCGCGTCGACGGACTGCAAGTCGTGCGAGGCCGGTTGGGCGCGCTCCGGGGTCACAGCGAGGGTGATTCAAGGTCTGGGTCGCTTATCCGGGGGGAAGGGTTCAAGGTGGTCTGCGACACGTCTCGCGATCGACCGTCGCGAGGAATGCGTCCACCTTTTCGGGAACGCACCGAGAGCCGGTCGCTCGTCCGAACGAGCCACGTCGAGTGGAAACGAGCCGAGCTACGAGCCTCCAAAGTTCCCAAATCGCTCACCCTCGCGCTCCCCAGGCGTGTCCGGTGCCGGGCACGTGGTACTTGAATCAGCGCTGCGACGCCGGCCATTTTTGCCCTCGTGCCTGGCGCGTCGAGACGTTTCGGGCCGACTTTGACGCGAGAGTTTGGCGCGCCGCTTCGACGTCGACGTCGCCGCCGCTCGGGCCGTCGGGACGGCCGTCGCCGGCCGCTCCCCGGCGAAGCACGAACCGGGCGGCGGCGGCGCGGCGGCGAGGCGCCGTTTCGAGAGCTCGGACGAGAGGAGGCCGCTCGTCGAACCTCGGCCCGCGGCGGCCTCGCGCGACGTCGCTTTGCCACGCCCGCCGTCCCACGGCCCGCGTCCCGCGGCGGCGTCGCCCGGCGGTCCTGCCGCCCCACGAGCGTGCGCGCGTCGGCCCACGCTTCGATCGCCGTCGGAGCGAGCGGAGGTCGTCGCGGCCGCTTCTGCTCACGCGTCCGTCAAAGGCGGCACGACCTACGCGGACCAGCACCCGTGTCCGAGCGGCACGTACGGCGAGGACCTCGAGCGCAACTTGACGAGCTCGACGGAGTGCACGACGTGTCCCGCCCGGTACCGCTGCCTCGGCGGGACGACGACGACGACCATCGGCGACTGCGTCGCGGGGTGCGTCGCGCGGCCGCCGGAGCTCCGCCGCCGAGCGAGCGAACGGACCGCAGGTACTACTGCGAGGCCGGGAGCAGCGCCGCGAAGCCCTGCAGCGCCGGCTCCTACTCGAATCGCACGAACCTCGCGAGCGACGGCGAGTGCTCGACGTGCCCTGCGGGTTATTACTGCGTCGGCGCTGGGTCCGCGCCGTCCGGCGACTGCGCGGCCGCCGCGCGGACCCGCACCTTCGACCCGACTTCAACGTGTGCGTATGTGCACTGTCTTGACGCGAGTGGCGTGTGCTCTCCGTCGAGAACTCGACGAGAGAAGCGCACTCGTCGAAAAACGAGTCGAATCGACATCGATTTGACCGAGCTCGAGAGTCTCGGAGCGCGGCCCCGACGTCGCGGTCCAAAGCGCGGCTCCGAAGCTCACGGGTCGATTTCCACACAGGCGCGCCCGCCGCGCGGCAGCGAAACGAGCGAGACGCGAGGACCGCCCGTCCGAGAGCTCACGCGTCGTCCCGACGCAGGCAGCGCGGGCCACTACTGCCCCGTCGGCTCGTCGTCGGCGACGGCCCCGCGCGGACGCGAATCGGGTGGTTTCGGCGGTCCCGACCGAAACCCGACGCGCTCGAGCCCGGTCGCATCCGAGAGGGAGACCATGAGAACGAGCGCCCGGCGCCGGGCCGGCGACCGCCGGCCGACTCGGGTTCGCCGCTCGAGGTCGCCGGCCCCGGACGACGGGTAGCGACGACGAGAGCGTCGACCGCGCGAAGAAGCGCCCGCCCGCCCTAGCGAGAGCGTCGACGTCGTTCTCGTTTGGACGAGCGAGTCGCCCTCGACGGATTGATGCGGGCGTCCCGGTGGAGTGGCTCGCCGCGGCGGCGCCCGCGCCTCCGCGCTGTGGGCGTCCGCCGCGCGCGTCTCCGTCGACGAGGTCCGCGTCGGCCGGAGAGCAAGACTCGACGCGCGGCAGCCCGTCGATGACATATCGCCTCGAAGACGTGGGTTCCGCGCAGGCGACGGAGGCCGACTGCCCCGCCGGGACCTTTTCGGCGGAGGCCCGTGTGCACATCGGCCGCTGGTTTGGGAGGTCCCGACCAATCTTCAAATCTCTCGAGCTCCGTCGAGTCGACGTCGATTTGGACGATTTTTGGACGAGTCGATGGCCCTCGGCGAGCTCTCGACGACGAACAGCAAGGACCGCGTCGAGACGGTTCGACTACGCCCTCGTTGAAGTCGTATGGCATGCGCGCAGGCGGAGACGAACCTCTACGCCGAGGACCAGTGCGAAGACGCGCCGCCGGGATCCTTCGCCTACGCGGCGTCGACGGCGGCGACGAGCTGCATCGCGCCGCGTCGAAGCCAGACCACCCGACGGCACTTCACGCCCGTCTCGCAGGTCCCGCGGGCACCTTCAGCGCCAACAACAACACCGTCGGACCCGGGCCGCTCGACTGCGGCGACGCGCGCGCCGTCCGCGCGGAAATCCGCCAGCGATCTGCGACGCCGAACTGCTCTCGCTCCGTCGAATCGAGGCCGCTTCGAATCGAGGCCGCTCTGGCTCAATCTTTGGACGAGCGATCGTCGGCGCGCTCGCGACGGAGCGAAAAGGGCTCGCGCCGACGACGCTCCCGCCGAAAGTCCGGTCGAAGATGCGAGCTCCGCGCAGGTACCCGTCGACGTGCGCGGCCGACGCGACGACGTGCGTCGACTGCCCGGCCGGTGCGTCGCCCGGCGCCGCCGACGTGCGGCGCGGACTTTCGCGGGTGCGTAGGTTACGCGTGCGCGGAGGGCTCGACGGCGCCGGCGCCCTGCGGCGTCGGGACGTACTCGAACTCGGGCGCGGACGCGTGCACGACGTGCCCCGTCGGCTATTACTGCGGCTCGAACACGACGACGTCGACGGCGCTCTTCTCCGGCGGCGGGTCCTGGGCCGACGCGAGCGACGCCGCGGGCGCGCGCGGCCCGGCGCCGGACGGCCGCCTCGACGCGTTTCGCGGTCGATCGTCGAGAGAACGCTCGGTCCGACGTCGGGGAGACGCTCCGCGTCGGAGTTTGGCAAGGCCTCACCGTCGCGACGCCCCAGGTGCTTCCCCGGCACGTTCTGTGAGGACGGCATGGCGCGCGCGCCCGACCTCGCGCGCGACGCCTGCGACCCGGGCGACGACCGGCGTCCGAGGCGGCGGGGGCGACGAACGCGTCATTTCGTGCTTCAGGCTATTACTGCGTCGCCGCGGCGACGTCCATGGCGCCCTGCGCCGCGGGCACCTACCTGCCCTTCGCCGGCGGCGCCGAGCTGCGCGGACATCGACCGGCGAGGCCGAACTTCAAAGCCCCCGACCTTCAAAGCCCCCGAACTTCAAAGCCCCCGAACTTCAGAGGTCGAATCGACGTCGCTTCGGCTCGGCTTTGGAGCTGAGCGATGGTCCCGCGGCGATAGAGGCTCGCGCACGTGTGCTTCGAAGCCACTCGCAGAAACGGAGGCGTTCCACGGCAGGCGCCGACGCGTCCGACTGCCTCGAGACGCCCGCGGGCTTCTACACGGTCGAGGGGTCGGCGAACTACACGGGCCTCTGCGAGCCGGGGTTCTACTGCGGCGCCGGCTCCACGACGCCCTTCGCGACGCCCTGCCCCGAGGCGACGTACAACGCGCGTTGCCGGCGCCGGCGGACGCCCCTTTCGCGCGAAGCGACGCGCGCCCCGGCCAGGTCCTCTACGGCAAGACGTCCGTCGACGACTGCGCGATCTGCGTCTCCGGCGGCCGCCTGTGTGGAATGCACCCGACTTGAATGTGAGCGCCTTGGCCGTGCTTCGGGACCTCGAGGAGAGCCATCGATCCGTCAAAAACTCGGCCGAATCGACCTCGATGTGACCGAGCTCGAAGAGGCTCGAAGAAGCTGTCGGGACCACCCGAACCGGTGGTTGAATTCCACACAGGCGGCTACTGCGAGGCCGGGAGCGCCGCGCCGACGATCTGCCCCCGGGGATACTACTGCGTCGCGGGCCTCGCTGCGCCGATGCCCTGTGTCGCGCCGCGCGGCACTCGACCGGTGGTTTCGGGGGTCCCGGCCGCGCTTCGCGCCTCGGTCGCTCGGTCGCGTCGACGCCGTTCCGGCCCCTTCGTGGACGAGTCGTGTGGTCTCGTCGCGTTGTGAGGGACCGATCGACGTCGCTGAAGCGGGGTGGACGGTGCGTCCCCTTAGGCCCTATCGGCACGTTCGGGAACGCGTCCGCGCTCCGGCGGTCCGAGGACTGCACGCCGTGCTCGCCGGGCTATTTCTGCGACGGCCTCGGCCGGCCGGGCCCGCGCGGGCCCTGCGACCCCCAGCGTCGGCGCATAGGTGCCTACGTAGGCGCTCGCGAGGCTGCGTAGCCTCGGCTCGAGCCTCCGGAGCCTACGTAGGCACCGCTTTTTACGACTACGTAGGCGCGTCAC